ACAGCAGAACCCCGACAAGCCCGTTCCGATCCGTTCCCCTCCGAGCCGAAGCTCGGTGTACTAAGAAAGGACAGGCCGGCCGAGATGCCGCCGTGCCGCTGCCAAGACATTCCCACTGCGGAGATGCCGACCGGGCCGACCGGCCCGAGGAAGCCGAAGACTTCTACGGACAGCCACCATCAGCTTACGTAAGCAAACTGACCCACGTACCTTATCGTGGGAACCCTAGCCTTAGGGTTAGGCTAGGGTTCGGAACCCCATGGTTAGGGGTTAGCTGTTAGGGTTAGCCGGTTAGGGTTAGGCTAAGTATCAATGTTCCTTAGTTGACGTTGATTCCTCTTTGGTCAAGAGGGGTACTTACGTTAGGGTTAGCTTACCGGTTAGGAGACCTGTCTCATAACGCCTAAGGTTAATACCGTCTGCGCGACCAAGTGCAGACCGAAGTACCTACAAAATTGTTGTTCTTTAAGAATCGCTACCACGGAGCGGATAAAGTCATTGCCTATACGAATTACGTCAAGACCGGGGAACGTATCCCGCATCAGAGAGTGTCAGCGGTCAGGCCAAGGACCTCGGCATAACCAACTAGTTGGCGGTACAACCCAGGAGTCTAGCCACTCACCTGGGACGGTAACCCAGGGGTGTCAACCCGTTGCCCTAAGGGATTCCTCCAGCAGGCATCCAGAAGGAAAGCTGTTGGCCCGAGGCACACAATACCACCGACACTTCCGAGACGAGCAACTATGGCCCGAGAACATGACAACGTATAACTGTAAGTTCCAACCAAACTACCTTTCAAAGTAGACCGTCGACGAAGTCGACGTGTTGAGGACGGACGTGAACAGGCCCTGTCGCGCTAGAACTGGCAGCTCACCATCAGTAAGGTCGATGGGATCACACTCCAGTAATGCAACTTACAAGAAACACCAAAGGTTTGGCGCAGAGAGGCCGAGACGAGAGAAGGCGGCGGCCAGTTACGACCATTCACCATGCCCCAGCTCTCCAGCCTTTGGATGTTGGCGACGACGCCCGGTGCCCTATGATTTCTCCTTTCTCGTCTAATATTAAACGGTCCTGCCGTTCAACAAAGGCGGAATAAGGCTCCGGTGAGGGCTCAGGATTCGATGGTCCGGCAACGGGCTCCCTTTCGGGCTCAACCGCTACATCAGGGGCATCATCTAGAGGAGGTTGTGTGGTAGCCTCCTCGCCTAAGCCGGCGTCTATCCTGAAGAATACTTCGCGCTTCCAAAGATTGGTTAAATCCATGAGATTCCTCGTGCGTTTACGAGAGACCAGCATGCGCGCCGATGGGATACTGAGTTTCGATAAGTCTGGCAGGTAGGGTTAGGGTTAGGGTTAGGGTTAGGGTTAGGGTTAGGGTTAGTCCTTAGGGTTAGGGTTAGGGTTAGTTAGGGTTAGGGTTAGGGTTAGGGTTAGGGTTAGGGTTAGGGTTAGGGTTAGGGTTAGGGTTAGGGTTAGGGTTAGGGTTAGGGTTAGGGTTAGGGTTAGGGTTA